CGCCAGGGACTTTGCGAATGTATTGTAAATATGCTATCCAGCACGTTTACTGTCATTTGCGTGCGCTGTCCTTGTTTTACTTACGGTGATTGCAATATATGTTAGTTGTCTGATTTGAGCCTTGTAGAGGAGGCGGAAAGGCAACTCAGACTCTATGCAGGTGGAGTGCTAATATTCTTCCTCAAATAGGCTTAGAACTCCATTATCGAACTCATTCATCTTCCTGTTTTTGCCTCTCTAGGATCATCAAATGAACTACCTTCGTGTAACTTCCATTCTACGAAGATTGAGATAGAGAATTTGGAGTGCTTCAATGAATTGTGACTACTTTGTGCCTCCGCTGCGTTACATAATCTTCAGATTAGGTCATGGCCTTGATTCAACCTTTTTTAGTCTGAATACAAGTACTCAGCCATATTCCGTGGTCTCTGCTACCGAAGGGGAAGTGTTTGGAAGTTTCCTTTGGTAGCATGGGAAGGCAAACTCAATCAGATTAGGAATTTTTCATATTCCCATCATTTGTGAAACTTTTGCAGTGCAAAAAGTGCATACACTACGGTCCATGAAAACTATTACATCTTTGCAATGAAAAGGGTGATGATGATCCCTGCCCTTTGCATTTGTTTCGCCCTATATTACACCGGCAAGCTAAGGCGATACTGATGTAAAAATCTACGAACTTCTGTTTTCAGAGTTTTCCAATCCATACCCATGCATAGATGGCGACGACGACGACATTACGCTAACTCCTTGTCCATATGAAATTTTATTCCTCTTTCACTCTGTCATGATCCTGTTCTGAAAAAGCATTCAAACGTCTGGTCCTGGCCACAATTGAAGATCAGCAGAAATGCCATACCCTCTTTCCGACATCAACTGCAGACCCATTTAAAGATTGCGTAGCTGTCTCGTGGACGTTTCCTCGCAGCACCTGTAGCGCTTTAAGACCTACCACTAGGTAGAAGACAAAATTAGTTTGGGCTGAAATGCACGCACTCTCCAAGAAGCAAAACAGGGTTTTGGCTTGTCTTAAATGTCAGCTCGCCCGTACAATTGGAAGACAAGTGCCAAAGTAACTCTGGGGCCTCAAATGGTTTCTAGGCCTTTTTTCTCAGTCCTCATGGGAAAATATTTGCTTAAGAAGAGTTCACGTAGCATTTCTAAAAGAGTACATGCTAGAATGGAGAATAAGTACCGGTAGATGGATATCCGTACCGGTCAGAAAACGGGTTCTCGCAAACTCCGGGCACGACCATCTGAATGACTTTAAACCACAATACATAGCCCCCAAATAACACCACAGCTCATCATCTTCACTTTGTTTCGAATACAATTATTCAACTCCACCCAATGCCCTCGTCTACAAAATGGAAATCTTCGGGATGCTAAAATTACAAATTTAAATATGCAGTCTAGGGCATGAGTGGAGCTGATACTAGTATCTATAAATATTTTTTATTATTAATTCATGATATTCTTTAGCTGACCACATTTTTCTTTGGCCAATTAGTTTGCCTCTTAGTTAGATGTTTTAAGCAGCCTCAGCTTTGCGCAACCCTTTGCTTGCATGGATTTGTTAGAGCTCGTATGATCTGACGTTTTGTAGTGCTCTTTCTATCGGCTGTATCCCTCGATCTGCTCTTAGCAGATAGCCGATAGCTGTGCAGAACTGCACTTGCTATAAGTATGTATATGTAGCATTGCGAGTAACCCATCCTGAAAGTCTGTTAAACAGCTTAAATGTGCTCGCTTGCACCAACTATCGTGCTTTTTACCATCACAAATCATGGCCGTGTTTCCCTTTTATGGGAAATTTTGCCGCACCAATTGTGCTGTTTTTTTTGTGCGGCTGAAACGGGCTTTGGTCTGTTGTTGCGTGCGTGCATGCTACCCGAGTATATTTCCCCTTCTTGAATGTAGATCCCTCACATAGCAGAAAATACGCATGCATCTTATGTAACTCTTTCTTGCACTTTAGTTATGGTGTTTCCTGGTACATTATTACTTATTCTGGGTGAACCAACACCAATCGATGTTAACTGCACAGACGGTATCCGCTGGATTTGGGTTGTCTTTCGGCAGTGCCGTATCGCCGCAGGAGATAGTCGCAGTTACTTTCGGCCTCCTCTCAACTACTATATGG